CATCTCCAGTATTTACAGAAAATGATCCGAAAAAGAGAAAATATCCAGTGAGTGGCAGTTCTGTGGGCGCAAATGCCTTGTTTATGCCAGAGGTCAGAGAAGAATGGCCAGACTGGTTCCAGCTGATAGAAAGGCAACAGCAACTCAAATAACCACTTGTTATAAACGAGGTTTGCAGAAGAGCATCTCTGAACGCACAACACATCTAAGCTTGAGGCAGATGGGCTATAGCAGCAGAAAACCACACCGGGTGCCCATCCTGTCAGCTAAGAACAGGAAACTGAGGCTACAATTTGCACAGGCTCACCAAAATTAGACAATAGAAGATTGGAAAAACGTTGCCTGGTCTGATGAATCTTGACTTCTGCTGCAACATTCGGATGTTAGGGTCAAAATTTGGCGAGAATAACATGAAACCATGGATCCATCCTGCCTTGTATCAACAATTCAGGCTGGTGTTGATGGTATAATGGTGTGGGGGATATTTTTATGGCACACTTTGGGCCCTTTAGTACCAACAGAGCATTGTGTCAACGCCACAGCCTAGCTGAGTATTGTTGCTGACCACATCCATCCCTTTATGACCACAGTGTACCCATGTTCTGATGGCCCCTTCCAGCAGGATAACTCACCATATCATAAAGCGTGAATCATCTCAGACTGGTTTCTTGAACATGACAATGAGATCACTGTACTCAAATGGCCTCCACAATCCCCAGATCTCAATCCAATAAAGCACATTTTGGATGTGTCACGGAATGGGAGATTTGCGTCATGGATCTGCAGCAACTCATTCATTCATTCATTTTCTTGTCGGCTTAGTCCCTTTATTAATCCGGGGTCGCCACAGCGGAATGAACCGCCAACTTATCCAGCAAGTTTTTAAGCAGCGGATGCAATTAAATGTAAAATGTAATTTTCCAGTACACTGTTGAATCTATGCCATGAAGGATTAAGGCAGTTCTGAAGGCAAAAGTGGGTCCAACTCGGTACTAATAAAGTGTACCTAAATAAGTGACTGTTGGGTGTATAAATATACTTTTGTCTAAGAAAAGTTAGACCTTACTGTCCTAATTAAATAATTACAAATCAAGGCATGATCAAATTTTATTTTGGTAAAATAAGCATAATCTAGAGGTCTTTGCCTTTCTTATATGCCACTTCTGATACCAAACGATCAACTAGCCAAGTCAAGTTATTATTTGTTGTGTAGGCGACAACACTTTTGTCAGGTAGTGTATGTTCAGTCTATATGCATGTAAACATTTTTTTACCAAAATAACAGTGGTAAACTACATAATTATATGTATAAAGAATTATATGTATACATGCACTGTGCACTGTAGCTTTAAACGCTAAAAGTGAAGCAGAAAATAAATTAAAGACGATTTAAGAAAACATTTTTGAAAATCATTTTTGAGTGACTCAAGAGAGCATACATTGCATACTGTAGCGATAGTTTAATAAATTACACTAAAGAAGTTTCAGGACAGTTTATAAATGGAGCTTGCTAATACCACTAATTGAGTATGGAATGTGTACTGTAGCTTTAAATATTGGAACATGGTACTAAATAAGTTATTTGCGAAACGTAAAAATACAGTAAGCTGCAGCCGAATGAACAGGAATCATGTACTATACCTTTAAAAAGTTAAAAGTGAAAATGAAAATAAATTAAAGATGCTTTGGGATATATTTTTGGATTCTGGAGCAGCTAATGGCGCTAATTGAGAACAGAGTGAACTGTAGCTTTAAATAACGACAAATGATTGCTTTGAAACTACTTTGAATGTTCAAAGTTTTCAACCTTGACTTTGATGTCACTACGAAGAAGAAAGTGTGCACCATAGATTTAATTTACAGTTAAGATTGAAACTAAAAGTTGATTGAAAAGTTTTTATTAAATTAATTATTTTTGCTGTTAACTATGGTTAATCTAATAGTACAGAATCAATATTTGAATGTAGTAAATGACTGTATTACACTGCCACTGCTGTTCGCTCAATAATTTGATCTGTTTGTTTAGAAAATATCAGTCTTCAGAAGACAATCGCTTAAAACAGAACTCCACAATTAGTATTTCCTTTTTACCTAAAACCTTCAGTATTTCTCCTTTATTCTCTCTTCCTCCGTCTCTCTGTCTCTCTCTCTCTCACACACACACACACACACACACACACACACACACACACACACACACACACACACACGGCAGCTCTCAAACGTTTAGCTTACTAAGGAGTAATCGTTTTCAAATGCGTCTCATCCTTTCTGCCTTCCCGGTTTTCCCCTTCTCCGTCTCTTTCTCCTGTTTTCCTTTCTCTGCCCTCCCGCTGCGTCTTTATACACTCTCTCTCTCTGTCTGTCTGTCAGTTCTTCTCTTCATCTTCTCTATCAGCCTTTATCTTCCCCTCCTCTTTCTTCTTTTTTACTGCTGTGTTTCAATCACTGCTCTCTCTCTCTTTCTCGTTTACTCTCCTCCTCCGTCTTTGCCGCTGATCTCTCCTTATGTTCTGTCTCTCCGGCGCGAGGGCAATTGTGACAGTAATGTTCGGAGAGCATCAGAAGGATGAGTCGGGATGGGGGTGTTACTGCAAAAGAGTGCATTAGACCCCTCGCTCGCCCCGTCTTTCCCTCCGTGGACGCCTCGGGGTCTGGATTACACACGATGGTCAGAGAGCAACTAGACGGACGCTCATTAAAGGCTGGATCATGATGGCGTGTCAGATTCACACACAGAGAGAGAGAGAGAAAAAGAGAAGAGGAGAGAGAGAAAGACTCAAATACAGCAGTAGACAATCAGGATTTAGGATTTAAGAAGTACTGGCACTGATTTAAATGTTATAATTAAAATATAATAGCCTAATATCACAATATTTCTAACTAACAATATATACTATACAAATGATTGTGATATTAAGTGACTGCAAAAATGCCTAATGTTAAATTATTAACAGCAAGTTTGTTTTTTCTAAGAATTGTTCACCCAATAATGATCATTCTGTCATCTCTTGTTTCTTTGTTTCTGCTGAGCACAAAAAGAAGATATTTTGAAAAATGTTAGAAACCTGTAACCATTAGCAATGTTTCCACTATTGCTCCTAAAGCAAGCATGGCAGGGCGAGCCAGGGACAGTCGTGTTTCCACAGTCACTTCTGCAGCCTAATCGGAAAATTCCTAATAATGTCAATACATTTTCAATGTTTTTTTATATTTAGAAGCTATTTTAAGAATGAATCAAGAACTAAAATACTTCTATGTAATATCCTTACAAATGGTGGTATTTTTGCTTAGCTTCACTGAGTAACCGTTCATGGGCTGCAGAGTGATACGGCGGTAGGCCTAGTTACTATTTAATATTTGATAACATTTCATCACCTTGGAATTATAAGGTTCTATCTGCATTCTGAACGTTTTTGAGATATTGAGCTTCAAAGTTTTTGTATTCCACATAGCAAACAGTATGTGTGTAACATTTGTTTTTTTTAAATAAAAAGTCTTAAAATGTAAACAACTTATAAAAAAAAACATCACATAATGTAAATAAGTTGTCATTTAATGAGAATATGTCAATAACTCAATTTTGACAAAAATATCAGATAGAACCTTATAATTCTAAGGTGACAATTTGTTTTGGATAAATAACTGAAGTGCACATTGGATTTATGCTCAATAAAATGTTTTTAATTCACAAGCGTTTCATTATTTCAGCTTCACGTGTGATTTGTGTGTTTGTGTGTATTTCTTTTGATTAGTATCAATTTGCTTAGCTTGTGGGAAAGCTGTTGTTTGAAGAGCACTGATTCATCGTGAAAACAGATATTAGTATTTAAATATAGGTTGGCATATATTAAAATTATATTAGTTAATATAAAACTACTTAAAATTACTTAACATAATAACATTTATTTCTACTGTAAAAACCACAGAAAATGGCAAATTCTTCAGCACAATAGCACTCTTTATCATACTTCAGCCTCCATATCAAAGTTCCTGAAAGCAAAGAAGGTCAAGGTGCTCCAGGATTGGCCAGCCCAGTCACCAGATATGAACATTATTAAGCATGTCTGGGGTAAGATCCAAATAATCCAAAGCCTAAAAAGTTGCTCCTTTTTTTTTTAAAGTAAACCATTGACGACATTTGTAAAATTCAATAATAATCATTTAATAACTGTAAATCTCACAGTTTCTTTTGTTTTATACAAAGTATTGAAGGTTTGAACTCCTACATGGATTCTGTAGGTTAAACAAAATGTGTTTGGTAAACATTTCTACAAATGCTTTGTTTAATTAAACAACAATGGAAAGATTTCATGGAATGAGCTTAACATATAAAGCCACAATCTGAATCTTCTTGAAATGATTCTGCGAACACCTCACGTCACTGGATAAGACTGTGCTCAGAATCTTAGGAAAATAATATCACTGCACCACGGCACAGAACAAACCTTTTAACACTTGACTATCATCCAATTCACCGTCTCTGTTATTTCTGCTAGCCAGGAGGCTAACGCACCATCGCAAATGAGCTCTGAAAACTATTTCATGCCCATCAACGAATAAATCACTCACTAAAGAGAGAGGAGAGGAACACGCCGTCCTCTGTTTAGTCATCAAAGAGCGGAGAGAGAAAAAAATGTGGTAAACTATAAACGCATGAAACTGTTGAAACAAGCCTGGGTATACATGGCAGGACTAGTGGGCTAAATATAGCCTTCTGGGTTATCTGCTTTCTGCAAGCACTGAATCACTGTTCCCTCGCATTATTTACATGTCTGTGCTTGCGATCTTAGAGGCGCTCTTTTGCTTTCCATCCACCTTTTCTTTCGGGATCTGGCATATCACCCTTTCTTCTACCCCAAACCCCTATCGCAATCCCGCTGTCATGTCATCAGGTTAACCAAACACCCTGTAACATGAAATCTCTCTTTTTAAAAACAGACGGCTTTTATGCTGTTTACTAGAGCGGATCTGACGTTATGAGGGCTGAACAGACTCACCATGATATAGTGGCGCTGCATCTCAGTTTTCTCACTGGCCAACTTCTCACACTCCAACTTGAGACTGTGAAAAGCATGAGAAAAAATTAAATAAATGAATGAAAAACCTAGTCTGAGATGACACAATGAAGACTGTTTGCTTGAATTAAAAAAACTAATTTAATAAAAATGTATCAAAAAAATAATAATCATTTAAAGATCTGTTTCACTTCACTTTTTAGTGAATTCGAACCACTTTAATAAACAAATCAAAACTAATAAATGCCCTTCAGACCAAAACAATCTGATTTACAAACACATCAGAACGATCAAACACACTTCAATGAATCTAAATAAGGTATAATCAATTCAAACAAATGAACATTCAGACCACTTACAGGGATCAAAACAAAAGCATACACTTAAAATAATCCAAAAGCCGAATAAACCAATTAACCTGAAATAATCTTAACATAGAAATTCATTGAATGTAATCAGCATAAGCTGATCCACCTAAATAAGTAAAAACGAAGGAATTCACTTCAAATATCAAAATAATCTGAGGCAAAAATACATCAAGGATTATAACGATGATCATAAATCAATTGAAGGAAATGAATCAGAACTGAACGATTCACTTCCAAGAATAAAATAAAATCATTTAAATGAGTCAGAATCAACTGCTTCAGTTGAATCAGACCAAACGAATTCACACACAGGATTTAACACATACTGTTACATTAAGAATAAATCAATATGATCAAACTCATGTAAAGCAATCATAGCAAACCAGTTCACTTAAACTGATAAGGAATTTTTGCAACTAATGGAATATTAGAACAAAACTTTTACATCAATTGAAATCTAATCTAATTTAGCTATTGAACTTAAAGAATCATAACAGACTGTTTCTTAAAACGAACTTGAATCTAAACAAAACAGTTCATTAACAAGAATCTAATTCACTTAATCCAACTCAAATGTTTTACTAGAACAAGTACAAATTAATCTGTTAACTAAAAACAAACTAATTACGATAGAGAAATTAAAACAGTATAATTCACTTAAATGAAATGAATCCGAAAAATATAACTCCCTCAAATTAATCAGAATAAAATGATTCATGTGAATCAGAACAAATAGATTTACTTTACTGAACATCAATGAATAAACTGAATTAAATGAAACATAAAATCATTTAATAAACACGAAACAAACTCTTAATCAATGAATCAAATATAAGAACAAAGCAATTACACCAATTGAAACAATCTGATTCAGATAATCAGCTTGATGAATCGCAACAAACTGTTTCATTAGATGAATTAGAACGAAATAACTAGCTTGAATCTGAACAAAACAGTTCATTCAGGAATCTGAATCACTTAATTCAACCCCAAACCTTTATTTGAACAAAAAAAGAAAAAAATGTTTTGGAACGAGTACAATTTAATCCATTTGCCATGCAGAAATTAAAACAATACCTGAATGAATCAGAAAAATATAACTCCCTCTAATGAATCAGAATCAGTGTGAATCAGAACACATTTAAAGACCTAAAAATAAGATTTACTTTACTGAACAATGAATTAAATGAAGCAAAAAAACTAAACAAAAAAATTACTTACTGAAAACGAAACAAACTGATTCACTTGAAATAATTTAAATAAACCAATTAACTTAATGATGTGTGCGCAATATGATAATTAAACAATATTATATTAAATCCGCTAAATACTTTGTGCAAGTTACTTGTTATTAGTAAATACACCAGATGATAGCATCACCAGATGATAGCATCATGATAGCATCGTTTTAGCAGCATTAATTTAAGACACATTCAGTGCAAGATTTATTAACATTCAAAAGCGATTCAAACACTAGGGGTAATCCCTCACCTGTGGTACTGAGCCTGAAGGAACTGAAACTCCTCTTTAATGCGGTCCAGGGTCTCCAGAACTGTAAACTTAAATGACTGTCCAGGCTGCAGAGGTACCTGAAGAGAGAGAAAGCGGGAGAGAAAAAGAGAAAAAGATGGCTTATTATTAATCAGTAAACAGTCATCGCTCTGGGCTGGGAGATTAGATTGGGTAAATTAACGTACCAAATGTGACTCATTGAAATAAAATTGAAAAAGTGTTCCCACTGCTTTATCTTTGACCTTGGCCTCTCTATTCAAACACTGCCGCTTTTTTGGGGGGGTGAGAGAGAAGAGAAAATATAATAACAACAGCACTTCCATGGGGTCGCGGTAACCCTTGTTCTGCAAACACTTTTTCCCAGTCTCAGCAACGAGTCATTAATCTGAGAGTGGCAAATATCAATGTCGCTGGAATTCATTTCAGTCATGCAGAGATTCTTTAGATTCCCATGACTATTGAGCTATGCTTTATTAATAATTATATAAGATGCATGTTTTAGTATATCCAAAACTAAAACGGTACACAGAGAGTTGAGTCAAATCAATCGCAACAAACTAATTCACTTCAGATCATGAATATGATACATCTCTATAAACATTTGCTCTGAAAATGTAAGTAAAGGTGACTTTTAATGACAGTTCTGATCTTGTAGATTATGTTGGTTGTCTGTGGAGCTACTAAAAATGTCAAATAAATTCCAAAACTCCAGTTAAATTTTCAACATCAAATGTCAGAGCAGATTTCAAAGTCTCAAAATCTAAAACCTGTGAATCATGAACCACAAGCATCTTTTAATTCAAGAGTTCACACTTAACTGATGCTTGATAAGGTAAATGGCATGCTGTTCTGGGAGAGAGCCCTGAGCTCAGAGAATCATTGAGCTTGGGGCTCCCTCCCATTTAGTTGGGAGAGAGGTAAGTCTGAGCAGGTATTTCTCAAGGACTCCCCTGGATTATGCTAGGAAAGAGGGGAAGGAGTCAGGGTGGATTCTTTAAGACAAAAATGGCTAAGGTAAGGAAATCTGGCTATTTATGTGCGTCTGATTGGTATATCATGTGATAGCTAATGTGGGACCAGCAGTGGTCAATCATAAGCATGTGATCCTCTCGAATTAGTTAAAAAAAAAAACTTCACTTAACATAAATCTTTTTCTTGTACATACATTGGAAGTCCAATTATTGAAGAATGGGTGAATCGAATCTAATGAGTCATATGATTCACTGTTTGTAGTAAATCAAATTTCAGTATTGGCAGAATGTTGAATTACTGACTCTTAGTAACCGCTTAACTGAAAAATTACATTACTTTTAATTAATGAAATGACGTGTTCAAATATATGGAAAGTTTAATTTTAGGCAAAAAGGTATCCTAATTTTACATAAATAGATCACAACAAACAGATTTACAAAAAAATAATAATCATAAATCTGAACAAACTAATATACAACAGAAAACCAAACAATATGATTCACTTATAAGTCACTTGAGTTTATTGAATCAATATAATGAATTTTAATCAACTAAATTAATAAGAAAGATTTTATTAACTTGAATCTGAACAATTTTGATTTCAATACTTGTGCATCTGGTGAATCTAATGAGTCAGGTATTTGCAAAATTCTGAATAACTAACCTATAATAACCAGTAAACAAACAAAATTCAACGCAAACAAATGTCTTTTATAATCTGGGTCTTAAAAAGAATCATTGCACAAGGCTGTCCAGCTTTCCTAAAGCAACATGCAAAAAATAGTCAGATTAAAGAAATCAGAACAGCCAATTTGACATAAACTGATCATAACAAATGGATTTACTACATGCTCATTTGACTTTAACCAGAACAGATTAATCCACTAACAGAAATCAAAACAATTATACTCACTAAAAAAATGAATCAGTATGATCAAACTTATGGCAGGGGGAAAAATTAAGTATTAAACACGTTACCATTTTTCTCAGAAAACATATTTTTAAAGGTGTCATTTACTTTAAATTTTTCTCGAATGTTGGTAACAACTAAAGAAATCCATATATGCAAAGAAAACAAATCTCATTAGTTTACAAAGAAAGCTTTGTATAATAAAATGAAATGACGCAGGGAAAAAGTATTGAACACATAAAGAAAGGGAGGTGTAGAAAGGCCGTGAAATCCCAAACAGCAGCTGAAATCTCTCAGTAGTTCTTCAGCAAGCACTTAAATGCTTTCCGAGAAAGAAAATCAAGCTGTAGAATGGCCCAGCCAATCACCTGACTTGAATCCAATAGAAGATACAAAATAAAGATCAGATTTGATAGACGAGACCCACAGAACCATCAAGATTTTTACACTTTGTTGAGTCTGTGAAAAAAACTCACACCTGAGCATTTCATGTGACTTCATTCTCGATATGAGAGGCGTCTTTAAACTGCCATCATCAAAAAAGCCTTTTATATAAAGCATTAATTACATTTCAGAAGTTCAGTACTTTCTCCTTGTGTCAATTCATTGTTACTACACAGAACTCACTTTTCATATTTGTTTTGTTTAATTTGTTTAATTAAGTTTGTATTGTTGGGGTTTTTACCAAAATCTGGTTCAATTTTGTGTCAACAGCACCTTTAGAAATATTATTCCCAGGAAAAAAACATTTCCCCGCTGTATTAAAGGAATCAGAATAAATGAGTAAGAACAAATAAGTTACTGTGAATAAATAACAAGACCAAAACACCAGGATAAGCTAAGAAGTAGCTTAATTAATCATAAAAATCGACTTACTTATTGAATCAGAAAAGGCAGTTTTACTTAAATGAATATAAACAAATGTATGCACTTGAATCTGAACAAAACTGAACAGCAATGCAGAGATTTTAGTAAACAAATCGTGACATGATTTTATTTCGTTTTCCTTTCAGCTTAGTCCATTTATTCATCAGGGGTGACCACAGTGGAATGAACTGCCAACTTATCCAGCATATGCTTTACACAGCGGATGCCCTTGCAGCTGCAACCCAGTACTGGAAAACATCCACACACACTTATTCACACACATACAACACGGCCAATTTAGCTTATTCAATTCATCGATACTGCATATCTTTGGATTGTGAGGGAAACCAGAGCAACCGGAGGAAATCCACACAAACATGGGGAGAACATGCTAACTCCACACAAAAATGCCAACTGACCCAGTTGGGACCCGAACCAGCGACCTTCTTGCTGTGAGGTGACAGTTCTAACCCCTGAGCAACCATGTTGCCCCACATGACTTAATTTAAACAGTAATTGTGCATCATGCATAATCAAAAAAGGAAGTGTGTCACCAAAATATGAGTTTAAGTGGCCACAACAAACTTGTAGGCATGTTCGTTTATGCAGAAACAGCAATGTATCTTGCAGCATTCAAACCCAGGTGGCGCTATAAAGTTTATAACTTGATTCCTGAATGACCGGGAATCAAAAAGACTAACAAATCAATCACAGCCCTCTCAATCATAGTTCTGTTTAACACGTTTATCTACCATTTTCACACACTTCTCTCCAATCCACAGATGAAAACACACCAAGTGGGCCCGTCTATGAACACAACCCACATGCTTTAATCTGCTCGTACTGTACTCATTTCTACCTCTCCTCCTCATTAAGACCCAAGTCCTTGCTATTTTTAAACCCGTTTCTCATTCTGTCAGCTGCTTCCTAAAATGGCCGCCTTTGTCCTGCACTCCTGCGGGCTCCCAGTTCTCTCTCTGAAGCTCACTGTCCGGCGAGCGGCTGAAGATTGGCGGTTTCAGTAGGGGCTTAATTAGTCTAGACAAGCGAAATTCAATTAAATTTCAATTAGGCTAACGGTGGAGGTCAGACACTCGGTGAGCTTTCGAGTAATTAAGCTGCAGGCACACAGCTGACTGGATGAGTTCAGTGTTTGTGTGTGGTGGGGGGGTGTCATCATATCCCTACTGACCCTCTTTCATTCAAACATGTGAGTGTGTGCGTGTGTACTGGTGTGTGTACTTAGTATCCTGGGATGTGTTTCCCAAACAACGATGTAATTCGCTGCTTAGCTAGTATAGTACAATGCACTGTGAGTGAAACTAGTTTGCTCCATATAGCAGTGTTGGATGTAATTAGATACAAAGTATTTAGTTACCGTAATTACATTATTTTTTCACTGATAAAGTAAAGTAAGGGATTACTTGAATTATTTTGTACATTTAAGTCAGTTACTTATAATGTAGGCCTTATACTGTTAATAAATAAATTCAGGGAAGCAGAGTAACTGTACTTTTGCTTGTAAAAATAAAATTTGAAGAATAATCCTACTTAGAAAGTAACATTTTTCGAGATGATTGAACATTCTTAAACAAAGAATTTAGTGAGAAATTAATGATAATATATGGTGTAGGCGCAAGGACGGATTTAATGATTTTGGGGCCCTAAGCAAATCCAACCATGGCGTCAAAGTCCTGAAATGCACCCTTTGAACTTTGATTTTTATTAGGTTTTTTATATCTTATTTTCAACATTTTAAATTAATGCAATCTCTACATTTTAAGTGATTAGTTTTCCTAAAATTAATTTACAACTAAAAATAAGAAACATATGTATATTTTTTTATACATTTGACTGCTTGACTGCTCCATGATGGATATTTTGTTTGGTAACATTATTATTATTATTATTGCATAACATTTCATTATTATAATAATAAATATTGATTGTACTAAATAATATTTAATCAAGTTCAAATTGTATTTGTTTAACTCTCACCATAAAATAATATAGTAGAAAACAATGTTATACATAGTTTATAGGCAGGGCTTAACATTTACACCCGCTAAATGCTGGCAGATTTCAGCTTTGACGGATTAGACAGTCACTCCCACTAGCCACTTTGGCTGGTTGCAAATAATTTTTAAATTGTGGTTTTCTTAAAAGCAGGGTTCGACAAAAAGGATGACCCAATATGCATGCGAATGTGATCTTAGAATCGAGAAATTGCGTTCGTGTGAGCAAAAGTAAGCAGCTGAATACCCAGCCTGATCTCACGAGAAGACGTAAGTATTTTACGTTTTGCCAGTTTAGTGGCTAATTCGTACG